CTAAATCGTTTAGAGCTATGTCCGGAGCGGGTCCTCATCCTCGGAGTTCACCACTTTCTTCTACAGTTGCCCAGAATGGACAAACCAAACACTGACTCTAGAAAGGGCCATTTGCATTTTTGCGTCAGCCACCATGGTTCTACATGCTTGGCAAATGAGAGAAGTTTCAGTTCTGCAACCTCACTGCTAGATCCCACTAAATCTTACACATTGGACCTTCAGTCTAATTATGCTTAACCCAGGACTTCTCATTTAGTCTCACTTACCTTACTCCTTCATCTAAGGGCTCATTTATGGAGAGAGACGAAGAGGGAGATGGATGAAGCGTTCGGTCAATACAACGGGTTCATTTTGTCCATGTTTGTGCACGTTTTCTGAAAGCTATTGTATACGGACCAAACAGAGCAGTACCAGCAGAGATCTTGGGGGCAGTGTAGTGTGGTTTAAGCAAGATATGACCTTAGAAGATGGTGAAGAAATTTTCAATAATGGCGGAAGGAAACAAATCGGTAATATACTTAAAAGAACTCTCACTTCACGTTGGGATGTATTTAATGGCCTCACAGACCACCGCCTCTACAATGCTGCCTCTGTTAAAAGGTTCAATATTATAGCCTCCACCTTTGCCTTGTTTGTTGTTTGTAAAACGTTTGCCTCTGCCCTCTAGTGCCATCTATTGGCTGTATCAGAATCATCTCAAATGCAGTTATATCTATTTTATATCTATTTTCATACCTAAAGGGAGTAAAAACGAGCCTTAAGCCCATTCTGCGAAATGTTCAGGAAGATTTCCCTTTCTATCTTGTGTATGTTAAAGTAACCAGCAGTACTACCAGAGCAGAGTTAACCAGGGTACAGCAGAGAGGAATGACAAAGCAACAGTTCAATAAAGCAGTGGGACATAAATTGATCTATGTAGAACAAAGTGGAGTAATAAATCCAGTGGCTATCATCCGAACCACTAATGGTGTACTGTTGTTAGCCTAATGGTGTAATGGTCTGCCTTCACCAGGACCCTATGAGACAGAAGAAACCACAACCCCAGACAAAGCAGACAATGCACTTCTCTATGTATCACAGTAATCTGTTTTAGAGGCTATGATGACTGATAAACAACAAGTGGAAAATCTCTCAGTAGAGGATCTGACATTTCAAATGGAACATGATTGAATTAAGTGAGCACAGGTTCAGTGGTGTGGTCCTACAACTATGTCCTGCTATCAACAACAGCAGTATATCACAGAGTCTACAGTAATCTAGCACTGCACTTTACTGCTTGTAGTTAGCAGTTCTGGAGGCAAGCCTCTTCTGTTGCTCATGATATAAATCTGATGGCATGGGTGCATGTTCTAGCGTACTTGTGGGTTAATGTGGACACAAACGGATTTAATGTAACACAGCTGATTTTAAAATCTAATTTCCACTTTAGTTATAAACTGTTAGAAATCTGATGGCCTGTCCACAGGCCCTCCTGCTGTGTTTTTTAAAAATTATTATATTTAAAACAACTGCTGTATTTGGTGTTGTTTAAGTGGCCTACTCATATGACACATCGTTCTGAAGCTACACTCCTCGTGGTGCCATTAATGCTGACCATTTCAAAATACTACCACCACCGCAGGTTCAATATACGCTTCTGTCAGACAAAAACCAAACGGTTATTACTCACCTATAAAGCATTTTCATAATCCACAGAGCCATATTATCCAGACAGTGCTTACACAGCTCTCAGTTCATTTCTCACACACTGTCAGGGGTCCAGATTATCTAAATCCAGCGAAATATTTGGTCCAAACACATTTTGACATCCATAGATTTTCAAACGTTCATATTCCTCTAACATATTATCTATAATTTCTCAAGTAATGCATGTAAACAAACTGATCTCAAAATGAAGGTGAACTCCTGCCCTTTTCATTGACATCTTACTTGAGCCAATAGGAGCTTCCAGTGCTGTTGCTATGGCCTGGATAGCCAACGAGGACCTTTGTGGAAGGCATGTGCATCACTTACATTTCCTGTAGTTTAAAGGTATTTAAAGAGCCAGTGATTGGTTCATTTCATCCGAGGCTTATGGGTCTTGTAGTCAATGACAATTTGAAGCTCCACAGCAGTTTTTAACCCCCTTTTTTTCATCAGACTCTTAGAAATGCACAGGAATAATAAACAAATGGCTCCTATGTTGTCTTAAGGGAAAAAAGAGTCTTTCTTATCAATTTAGGTTTTCTAGAAGTGTTTTTGTATTTAGTAAGCTCCTAAATTTCTGTCTGCGCTGATAAGTTTTAAACTCATATTCACACATTTTTTTATCCTCTTTCTTTGAAAAGCCCCTGGAAAAAATTAGAAAAATGTGTAAAATATTTATTTTCTATGATATTGTTATCTACTTTGAATTTGGACTATGTGAGGCTTCATGCTATGGTCCCATTGTGTTTTCCATTCTTATCATCTGTAGCATCTTTTTTTTTTCAAGAAAAGTGAAAAATATTCCCTCCCTGACTTGTGGAAGGAGCTGCTGATGACACCGCACTTGTGACCCACTGCCGGTGGACTAACAGGAAACAGCTGATAGCAGGAATGAGCAGCTAGTAGCAAGAGGGAAATGCAAACCTGAAAGACACTGTAAAGACTTCCCTCGTCACTGTTTACATCACACGCTGAGCCACACGTTTTGTTACTTGCTCACGCCCCCCATTGCCCCGAAAAAGGCACATTCTGTATGATCAAAAGTAGGCAGGCGGCATTTCGCTGCACTACCCGATTTTGTTTTTACACTGCTTGCTTAGGGCACTGTCATCTCTAGGGGGCGCCACAAATGGGGGAAGAAAAACAAATCAAACTGTATCTTTTGCTATTGTTTTACTAATACTATTCTATTATTTTGAAGGCCACATCAACATAACTATGTAGCAAAGCCCACTAAATAGTAGAGAGGCCTTCTTTTCTGAGTTCCCTCCTAAATCCTTTGATTTACATTGTGAAGTGTTCAAGCTCTATTCAGTAAAAATTAGTATTGTGTGAAAGTAAATTATAATTTTCTCATGATGTGTTCAGTATAATCTTGCAAAATGTAATGCAAAACCAAATGTGCTACAAGCGCCACTGCATGGATAGGGATTTTGGGTGAATTTAGGTGAATTTTACAGACCACATATGCAACTGACTGTGGCTATATCCCAATTTGATATCAGGTATCAGGTAAATACTGTACATCACATCAACTGGGCTGATGACAACAGTCCTGGAATAATGTTGATTTTGAAGTATTAGTATACGAAAGTATAAATCTACTACATCTGTGCAGTGCTCCGGCCACAGCCTGTTTTTTCACTAGTCACGAAGATACAGGGCAGCGGATGTGGCTCACACACACACACACACACACACACACACACACACACACACACACACACACACACACACACACACATGCACGGATCTGTGTTGTCTGTGAGAGTGGTTTGAGATTTAATCCATGTGATTTGGGATTACTGATGTGTGGTTTGTGTTTGAACACGACACACTCTGCACTTTGCACACACACGGATAACTCAGAAGATGACTGTGTATATATCAGAGTAGAAGATGATGCAAGCAGGTTTGCTTTGACCCAAGGACTAATACAAATGCTGTGCTCATTATGTGCCTACACAAAAATAGTGTTTTGGAGCAAAGACTCAAAATAATTAAATGCAGGATATTGTGACCACATATTAACCTCGGTGTGAAAACAAATGTAGTTTGGGTTTCAGTGTCACGACTTGGTGTTTTGCTGCCCACAGTCAAAGGTGGACTGGCCATCTGGACATGCCTTATTCCAGAACAGTCGATCTGCTATACTCTTTAATCAGACAGGCAGAGAGAGGAGCCTGTTGCTCTGAAAAGTGGCATTGCAGGGAGAGCTACCATCAGGAAACACCACATGGGTCAAAAGTCTACATGATTCATCTGCTTTCAACAGATTTATTATAGCACACTGCTGCTTGCACATGCTTCATCATGTTGATAGAGCCCCTCTGCAGTGCTGTCAACTCGATGCACTGATCAATGCTTCCAAGTTCCATTGAGGACGTTTCGGGACATGGTGTACACATGTTGCTGTTGAGTTTCATGCCCAGATAAGAGTTAGCTTAATATCTACCCCTTTGCTTGTACTACCAATGTTTGATTGGTAGTAATTTAACTAATTCTGAAGAACTTAATTAATACAGTAAATTGCAATGCAACTACTCTAAGCTTATTCAACAATGGGATGTGGGTCCCATGGCTCAAGGTGTATTGTTGCTGGATGATGGTGTGTCACCGGGCTGAGTAAAAAATCCAGGCCCATTTTTCATTCCTAGTTAGTTCTCATACAGACGGAGAATATGTGCCTTGCAGGGAAGAGCTGAGCTCTGGGTGTATCTTGGCAGTGACAGTGACTGGCTCCCTGGCTGAGAAAGCATCCATATGGTGGATATGACCCAGTCACCTCTAAGACATCACGAACAGGAAGGAAGACTCAGGGCTCTGTTTTGTGTCAACACAGGGCGTGGAACATACTGTCGCACCAGCAAGATGGTTCGACAGTAAGGTTATGTTCTTGACTGTGCTGGTTTGCTATATTAGAGAATCACTCTGTGTCTCAGTGGGAAGAGAGGTGTGGTAGAGATTGTGGCCATACCAGTCCAGCGGTGCCCTGCAGTCTTGATACAAAGAATATTTGTGTCTTACATAGTCACCTACATGGTGACTATGTGAGACACACATAACTTTTCAGGATAAAAATGTCATCACTTCATTATTGTATCCTATTAGACATTTTTTTGAAGTTTTGTCATAATTAGCATATGAATTCTTGAGGATAAAAACATGTTAAAGTATAGGATGTAAAACTGACAAAGAGCATTCATTAAATATAGTCTGCAATATAGCAAGTACCTACATGCAACAATTTACAAATATGACATTTTTATCTTAACGAACTTAACTTAGATTAACTGAGTTTTTCTATTTTGCAGGAGTGATAATTGAAGACAAGATCTAACAGGACTCTGGAGTCACCAGCCACACCACCACGACTTCTAAAACCAGGAACTGAGACAAACACACATTCCTACAGAGAGAAATTCCATCTTGTGCTAATTCATATTCAGAACACTGCTTAAAACTAGCAAGATAAGGATAAGCTGGACTGAGTAACCTGCACTGCAAAGTGGGGGAATTTGTGATGTTTGATGTTAACACCACTATTCATTATTCATTTTAAAAGACAGTAAATGAACACAGTCACTAACCTATGACTGATACTAGTTGTTTAGCATATTTAGGGTAATTAACTCATCATGGTTTACTAAAAGATCAAATTGGCAGTTTTTTGTGATCTGAAATTTAACACCAGACTGCACTTAACTAACAAGCCAAACGAAAACCTTATATCTGCTGTAAAATTAACAATTAGCCTAGCAGGCCGAGTAAGCCAAGATGGCTGACCCCTACCAAAATAACATGTACCAGCAAGGAGGGGGTGACAGCTATGGGACTTATGGAGAAGGTGTTGGCCATGATGGATACGGTTACCGGGAAGACTACCCTCCTCAAGAAGAGGACGCAGCGAGCGACGTGACCGAAGGACACGATGAAGAGGATCAGATGTACGAAGGAGAATATCAAGGGATACCACATCCTGACGAGGTGAAGGCTGCACAGAGAGCTGCACGGTGAGACACCTCATTTTTATTGTTTTTGTTTTTGTGCAAATGTACCCCAAAAAGTGCAATACTATAGATATAGACCTGCTGATTCTAAGCAGGGTTTAAATATGTAGCGTACTCACTCTGGAAAATATATAATGTACTCAACAAAGGAAATGAAGGCACTACTTACAGCAGCAAAAAAAGTAAATTGAAGATGGTGGAGACAGCTGTAGAAAGCTCCAGAACATCACAACTAATTCAATTTTGAGAAAACATTTAGCTTTCTCTTTGTGAAAGCTTACAATCTGGCAGTATCCTATATTCTTATTATTATATCTTATTACTCACCAAAACCAACGATAAACTAATCCCACTAGCAAGTATTGCATTTGGCCTGCTATGTCTTATTCCTCTGTACCATGGAGATCTGTTGTGAGCAATCTTGCTTACTCTATCCATCTGTTTGTCAATGTACTGGCTTGTTTACATCCATGAAGTCCCCCAGAATGTCATTTATGGTCAGCCACATTGCTCTGAAAGAAGCAGGCTCAATGAAGAATTAAGCTCTATGCAGAGTCCAAAATATTGTAAATCTCTGAGCTGCTGTGTTACTCACAACACAAGACATTTTTGTCCCAGACTGTTATAAGATTGACATGAGGGTGCACAACCTATCAGATCTGTTTTTAAGTCTTTTGAACAAAGTTAAAGTGAAGGTCTTCTGTGTAGGACTTAGGTGGATATATTTGCTGAAATGGAAAATAATATGAATATGAGAATATCTTCTTTAGTGTATAATCACCTGAAAATAAGAATTGTTGTTTTTTCCTAACCTTAGAATGAGCTGTTTATATCTACATAGTGAGCGGGTCTTAGTTTATGAATATTGCTACATTCACAGCCATGTTTCTACAGTAGCCCAGAACACACAAACCAAACAATGGCTCTAGATAGGACCATTCGCATCGGCCACTGTAGTTAGAAACCCATCTGCAACAAAAGGCATTGGGGAAACTGATTTGTAACGTGAAACTGCTTTATTCTGTGTTTTTACTGGTTTAAATCCCTTGGGATTTTATTTATAAACATTGTGCAAGCATAAAATGAAGTCTGAAAGAGGCGTACACCACATCCCATGGAAAAAAGTTGTGATCTATAAAAACAGACTTTGATGGGAGAAACTTTGACCTACGCTAATAAACATTTTGGAGATGGGAAATTGGCAATACAGATGGTGAGGTGGAAGCCAGTCAAAACCTCCTGAATGTCTAGATCAGAAAATAGATGAGCACACATTAATTTATTAAAAAAAAAAAAAAGAGTGAGTACACAGGTAGGTTTTGGGCGTACTGCTGATTTCCGACATGCCAAACAGCATCGGAGAAATGCTGATTTGTATCATGAAACTGCTTTATTCAATGTTTTTAGCAATTTCAATCACCTGGCCCATTTGTTTTGGAGAGGAAGAGACCTCTGAAGTCAATTCTGCTTTCGTACTAAGGAAGAAATTCTGAAGGCTGATGATCTGAAAAAATTCTAGCTTTGAAAAGTTTCAGCCAGTTGCAATATGCAATACTCACTGCTAGACACCATTAAATCCTCCTAAATCTTATGCACTTAATCTTTAAGTCTTTGAGGCATGACTTGCAAGTCAAAGAGCAAGTTTTTTCTCAGTCTGTCAATGCTTAAAAAAACAGCTCAATGGCAATATCACACCAAATACTTATTTTTGAATGGAAAGTGCAGGTGTTCAAAAAGTCCCATGATGAGTTTTTGTCTGTTTGGAACATTATAGTGGTGCTATACATCTCTGCTCCTGGTTTTGATCTGAACACATCTCAAATTGATCACATAAAAATCAGTATTAGTGCTGATTCTGAATGTGACTACAATGCTCAACTATTATTGCTTAAGCTTTTCATCAAAAGCTATCATAAATCTAGAGGCAAGAATCAATTCAGTGGTTCAAGCCAACATGGACTGTTAAAAGTTAAAAGCTGTGAAAAATCAAAACCTTTGACAGTCTTCAACACCTGTATTAAAGATAAGCAACAGATTTTCTGACAATCAGACAGATGCTCATTCATTAATGACCAAATCTGTGCCTGGCAAAGCCCTTCTGTGGCAATGTCACCCCCTACTGGTCAAATGCAAAAACGTCTGAGGACATGTTTTGATCAAGCAGCAACCTCTGTGGCTGAAAAATGAGGGCAACACAAGATACCAAAAAACTGCAATTCCTTGAATGGCAACTTGAGGCTGGGTCCAGAAGCCAGTCAATCCCCATAGACTCTCACGTTAAAATGCCCAATTTTACAACAGAAATTAACATGTTTACAGTAGGGCTGTAATCAGTCAAAAGAAAATCTTGAATCTTGAATCTGCAATTCTACCTATTCTTTGACAAATCGATTGGTCGATGGGGTAAAAAATCTGCATGGGTACAGTATGTCTATATTTACTGAATCGCCACAGTGCACTGAGTGCACTCTACCTGGTGGCATTGAGTGTCACCAAAGCATTTTTTCCTGTCACAGGAACCGATATAAACACTTGCCCAAGGGAAGTTAACTCTCTGTTCATGCAAGTGGAATGCCCTGAGTGAAATGTAAATGTTATTGCCGATGCATAATGCCCGAAAATAAACTGCACACATTTACTTTTCCACCTAAGCTGAGTGCATGAGTCTGTCTCACCACTAAACTTTGAACAGGCCTGATTTGAAAAATCTGACATACTGGAGACTATAGGAGGCAACTTTAGGGTCATTTACATCATAACATTACTGACTTTAAATATCTCTGTGCAGCTGCATGGGAGAGAGAGACTTACTATTTTCAGCCTCGACGCTAAAATTAGCCATCATTCCGCTTCAACAGGGACTCCGGTGGGATTTTATCCCTCTTAGTAGCTTTGTTATCCAGCCTTGAACTGCAGTGACTGCAGAGACTTAGTAAAATAAATCCATCGTGATAAAATCCAACACTGAATGTCTTAAAAATGAGGAATGAAAAATGTTTAACTTTGGGTAAAATGCTGAGCTTGTCACAGTCACCAGCCATCCAATCACAGTGAAAAAGGGGCGGGACAAACTGCTTAGACCAAAAATCACAAAGAACGAATATAAGTGCTGAACAACAACAGCTGGCATTTTTCAGTTGGGAAAAGAAAGGCTTCGGTGGAGACACGGCTAATTTAAAGTAACATCAGTGATTGTCTGACCAATGAGAATTTGGTCAGGCAAGACCATGATGACGTAACAATCAACCTGCTGACCAGGGGTCCGTTTCACAAAGCAGGTTCAACAAACTCTGAGTCTAATTCTGAACTCTGAGTTGATCTACTCTGAGATAGGAAACTCTGAGTTTCCGGTTCCAGAACAGCTGATTTGAATCAGTTTAATCAACTCAGAGTAGTTTCACCTGGAGTTAAGCGCGTGCACCACAACTATAAAAAGCCAGCATCAATGGAGCCCCGATTCGACGAGTCACCATGGCAACGGGGAAGAGGAGGGCTGCGTTTTTCACCCCACTAGAATTAGAAATCTTAATGCGCTCATACAGCGAGTTTGAACACGTTTTCAAAAAGAAATGCAACATCGCTGCAGCTGCAAAAGAGAGGGAGACGGCGTGGGAGAATGCATAAGTTTAAATGTAGTCCTTTGCAATCACAATAATATTACAGGGGAAAACTGCTTGAATGGTAGCCTATTAATTTATTTCATTTAGGTGCAATCCCGCGGGGGAGAAGCGCACTTGGCAGCAGTTTAGGATGAAATATATAAACATTGTTCAAACAGGTAAGACCTCGGCATAATCTCATGGGGGTACCTCATTTTGATAATGTTTTACATTGTAAAGTAAATATTAAGTGGCTGTTTGACTGTGCAGTTGTTTTATCCCCAACATAATGCTGTTTTCACACACATAAATATCTTCTCATCTATATCATGTTCTGTTAAATAAGTAAGCCTATTTAAACTAACACAGACTTCTACTCAGCCAACAGAAAGAAGGCAGATGCCCGTAAAACGAGCACACTTTTCTGACCGCCCTGCATACAGTTGCCTTACTCAAGTGCTCAGCGTCTCCGACATTGTACAAAAACTTCCATTTGCAAAGAAACACAGCGCGTTTTTATACAGTATGAGCGCAACACACAATATCTGCTGGGATGTGAGAGCATGACTACGATTGGTAATGTTGCAAATGTAAGGACGGATTAGGTTGTGTATGTAGATGATGGACTGTGACGTGAAACGGTACCGCTCAAAAAGATAATTGTGTGGAAATGCTAGAACATCTATGCGCGGTCTGATAACCATCTCCCGACGAATATTTAATTCTCTGCGCAGTAATGCTGCACCTTCATCCACGGGATCGTTATCAAAAGGACATGCCATGTTAGTGAAAAAAGTCGCCATCTACTGTGCCTAATGGACTTCTAATATATTGACTCTGATTTTTTTAAATGATTTTTTTAAATGACAGACGGCAGAACTAGGCTACGCCAAAACTCGCCTGCTGACTGAATGAATGAGGAAATCAAATGGAGTGTGTGGTTCTGAAAGAGGGCGGAGACAGAGAGAAACTCGAGGTTCATTGAGAAAAACCTGGTCCCGACCAGGTTAGGTTCATAGAGTCTGTTACTACGGTAACTGACCGAGAGCTTAAGTTACCTCTCTCTCTGAAACAGGCTAGAGTTACCCCTCTTTCTCTGGTTTGAGTTACCTCCCTTTTTGAAACAGAAAACTCAGAGTTTCCCTCATTTCAGGGTTAACAGACTCTGAGTTTTCACTAAACCTGCTTTGTGAAACGGACCCCAGAACATTACAGCCCTAGTTTACAGCCTGTAACAAAAAAGTTTTGATCTCTTTAATTATTTACCATATTATAACAACAGTGCAAATATGTCATATGTAGCTCTGTAAAACCAAGATGGCAAAGTCCAAAGTGCCAAACTCAATGTTTGGAATTTGTGGTGCCCCCTAGTGGTCAGTTTGAACTTTTGAGGGTATGTTTCAGGTGCTCATGTGGACATAGCTTGCACATTTCATGATGATTTGCCCCATGGTTGTGGAGTAATGTGTACTTATTTTATCTACTCTATGTCTACTACTTATGTGCGGAGCCACATAAGTTTTTACGCACTTTTTATGAACTAATACAGTTTAGGTGGAGATGTCAAAGATGTGCTTTTCAACACATCAGAATGCAAGGAATATCAAAAAAATATTAAAACAAAATTTAACGCCTGTGTTTTATTTTTGTGCCAATACAACTTTTCCAATACCAGTGTTTCAGTGCCAATGTTTCTTTTCAAGTTTTCTTTTCAATGCCATTTTTATTTGCCAAATTTTACTCTCACTGTTCCAGCTTGATAAACTTGCAGTCTTTATGACTTCTTATTCTCATTCTCTGTTTGTGTCCAGGACTAAAGCTCGATCAGCCGGCAGTGCGGTCTCTGAACTACAAGAGTTATCTGAACAATATGAAGACATCATGGAGGACTGTGGCCACGGGAAGTTCCAGTGGACACTGTTTGTGGTGCTGGGCCTGGCTCTGATGGCTGATGGAGTTGAATGTTTTGTGGTTGCGTTTGTTCTACCATCTGCAGAAAAGGATCTGTGTCTCTCCAATGCAGAGAAAGGAATGTTGGGTAAGGGCTTTAATGATTTACTGTTGCTTACAGTGTGGTGTCTGTGTGAGTAGTGCTTTACTGTGGTCTGTGCTCTGTTTGCCCACTAGTGATGTAGATTTTGTATTGCTTCTCTCTGGTTGGGCTTATCGCCCCTGAACAGAAGTATGATGATAGGTTAATACTTTTCTTCAGAGAAAAAGACAAGTATGTTCGAATATGGCCCCCATGTGGCGCCACTGCTTATAGGACACACAGATGTCCTATCTGTGAATGTGACACTGAAATAACAAGCTACAAAATACAAGTTACAAGCGCAAATTTTGACCCTGTTCTTACACCTGATCTGACTGGCCAGTCAGCACGTTGACCACTGACCATCCAATCGGAGGAAGTCAAACTGTTTAATCAGTCCGCAAAAGGGCGTCTTGTTTACTTCATCCTTCAGAAGCATGCTGGAGTCAACATGTTGAAACATTTACATATCTTGACCTCAAAAAGTTGGCGACATGAAACATGGGCACTGACTCTGCTCCGCAGTTGCCTCTAAACAGCACACATCTGTGATCCAGAGTGTTTATTCACCTTGTGGCGCGGGGCAAGCCGGAATGGGAGAGCACCTCTCATTCCCATTGTCACACGTCCTTATTCACCATAAAGCACATACATTCTCCCTTCTCTCGCCAGAGTTCTCTACTCATTTAGATCGGCATACAGAATAAGAGGCACCGGGTTGAATGGTGCTGTCCAGGATTTAGCCAAGTGTCGGTTGATCATAGAATATTTCAATTCCTGATATCCTGTTGGAAACTGATGCGTCACAGAGGTGGTCCATTTTATTATCCAGTGCCTGCACAATGGCTTGCAGGATGCTGGTATGGCTGGTGTCCATCTTCTCTAGGTTTTCATGAATGTTTACTGATGTTTACATTTGAAAACCTCCATCTAGCCACTCCCGGTGGTTATGACTACACCAGAGGGCCATCTGTTTAACATTGTGTCTGTAGGAAGACTCTTCACTGTCTCCGATGAGGCTGATGATCGTTGTGTCATATGCAAATATTAAGTTTTTAACAGATGGATCTGAGGTGCAGTCTTTGGTACTATAGAGGGAGAAGAGCTGTAAGGAGAGCACACATCGCATCAGCCAGTGCTGATGGTCCTGGTGCTGGATGTGATATCTTCCAGCTTCAGCTGCTGCCTCCAGTTTGTCATAAAGTTTGTGATCCACTAACAGGTGGGGGCAGGCACAGTGAGCTAGGTGAGATTGGATTGGAGGATTTCTGGGATTATGGTGATGAATGTTGAGCTGAAAGTCCTCAAACAGCATCACTGCATATATGGTTCTGGGAAGTCAAGATGCTGTAGAATGTAGTGTAGTTCTGTTCTGACCTATTTACCTGGTAGGCAAACTGCAGGGGTCCAACAGGAGGCCTGTGATGTCCTTCAGGTGGGTCAACACCAGTCTCTCAATGGATACCATGACCACGAAGTCAGGACCACAGGCCTGTAGTCATTTAATGCGGTGACTGAGGGTTTCTTTGGTGCTGGAATGATTGTGAAGCTTTGAAAAAGGAAGGACTGTCATGCAGCTCCAGTGATCTGTTGATGGGGGCCAGTTGGTCAGTACAGACTTTTAGACAGGACAGTGACACACCCTGGTTCCTTCTGGATTTTTTGTCTCTGACAGAGCTGATACACATCCTCATTACAGATCATGAGTGCAGGTGGAAGGTCAGTGGTGAGGGGATTGTAGGGGTTGCAGTTTGTTGTGAAATGTCAGCATAAGGAGTGAGGATGCATCAAACCTGCAGTAAAACATTCAGGTTTTCAGCCAGTTGATGGGTCTCCACAGTGTGATCTCATGGTCTCATGTGGTTGGTGATGTTCTGCAGGCTTCTCCACACTGACACTTTGACTTTTGACCATAAATTCGCTCTCATTGAAATACTCACTTTCTCTCTGGGACAATGTGTGTTTAAAGTGTGCAGGGCTCTATGTTCCCAGTGTTCTCTGTTTCCACTGTCCTTCATTCCCCAGCTGTATATAGCACATACTGTAGGAGGTACCCAAGCTCTGTATCTGCACAATCTGACATGGATCAGGTTAGGGGACCAAATTCATGATTCGGAAATTGATGAGATGCTCTGGCACAGGTCTTTGTCTAAATGTATTTTCTCTGTGTGTTAGGACAGTTCAACGATTATTGCAGCCCAAGTAATTATAAATATGATTTTAAGAATTAATCAATTGAAAACATAATAACTAATCACAGAAGGAATTGAAAAAAAAAATGATTGGGATGATTAAGGGTTAAAAAAGAGGTGCAGAGCCAAGTTTAATTCCCATTTTTAAACAGGTTAAGGTCAGGAAAGAGATCAAAGGTCAAATTAAGGTAGAATATCAAAATAAGTTGTTATTTTGATATTTTACCTTAATTTGACCTTTGATCTATTTCCATCCCCAAACGGGTTAAGATTAGGAAGAAAGACCTAGTAAGGGGGTTTGGAACTCTCACATGCATTTTTACTCACCAATTTTAATCATACATTTTAATCTATGTATGGTTCTTCATCTGATATGTCTTATATGTTGATATGTAAAACCAAAGCTATTTTAGGGACAGAGAGTGAGAAGAAAGTGGCGCAAACACAATCTGAGGATTGATGTGTGTTAACAGGATATTGATCTAGGGAACATAGAACACTGGGAACATAGGACCTTAGGAGCCTAGGACCCTGTGAACATAGGACCTTGGGAGCTTAAAACCTTGGAAACATATGAACTTGGGAACATAGGACCCTGGGAACATAAGACCATGGGAAGATAAGAACTTGGGAACGTAAAACCCTGGGAACTTAGGACCTTGGAAAGATTGGATCTTGGGAACATAGAACCTTGGGAACATAGATACAATCTTGAAGGGGCATGGTAATCACCTCTCATTGTGTCCGAAAAGATACTACTGTTAATTCACACAAAAGTATGAAACATAGCACACATGTTGGGTATGTAGTGCATAGTTGGTTTATTTGTAACATTTAAAATCTGAGCAGTGAAGTGATGCTGGAGTTAGCAGGCTCTACACTCTACTCGAAAGAAAACAGCTGATGCTAGCTTCCATCTGTATCTTAAACTCTTCCAGCAGCCTTGCATCCCAGTGTTTGGGCATTGGTCGTTTGACCTGTGTTTGAGTCATGTAACTATGAAAAGGAGCAGGGACATCACTCTTTTATTTGGAAGAACACAATATACAGTGCGCTCAAAGAGTGAAAATGAGTAGCTGGTTCCATAGCTGTGTTTCTACAAAAGCTGTTTTTCCTTTGTTGCTGAAATAAATGGAAATGAAAAATCATTTTCAAATTCATTTTGTAGGTTGTGAAGGACCAATTCATGCAATGTCAGTGACATGTTCTACAAGAGTAATAACATTTAATATCATTATATTCCATTATCATAATCAAACATTATTACCATCAGTGTGAAATGATCCAATAATATGTCAATTGGATGTTTTTAATAACATTTATAACGAGATTGATGACATGCACCCTGCCCCACCCAACCACCCTCTCTCTCTCTCTCTGTCTCTCTCTCTCTCACACACACACACACACACACACACACACACACACACACACACACACACACACACACACTGCCAGCCAAGGGAGAGTTAGTGATTTCCTGAAGCTTTTGAGAGCACTCAAATTACTACTGCAGTCTAATTAGCTAATGGGCACTGAGGAGGCAGGAATGAATCAGCCTGTTGGATGTTGGGTGTGTGGCATAAGTGGGCTTGTGTATTGGTCTGTACACATTGCTTACTGTAAATGTATGTAGGTTCTGTTATGTGCAATGTTTGAGTGAGTGTGTGGAATGGTATATGCTATACATCTTAAGGTGTGAAGTCTTTTAGTTGAGCAGGAGAGGAGGTGAAGGGAGAATAGAAGAGACACGGAGTGGTTAGGATAGCAGAGATGAAAAGGGAGAGAGTAGAGGAGAAATAAGTGAGGGGACAGGATATTGAGAGGAAAGGAAACAAAAGATCAAAGGCGAGAGAAAGATCAGAGGAGAGGCAGTGGAAGGGAGAGAGTGAACAAGTGGAAAAGTGAGAGTACAAGAGGAGGGTGAGGACAGAAGAGTAAAGGGAAGAAAAAATGACAGGAGGTGAAGGAGTGCAGAACAGAGCAGAGTACAAGGGAGGAAAGGGGTAGAGAAGAGAGGGGAGGATAACAGAAGAAAGGTGAGGGGGAAAAGGTGAGATTAGAGGAGAGTTGGTCTAACTCACTGGATGTAGACTGTGGCTATAAGTCTGCCTTTGGCTGGCTATGTGGGCTGGCATTCTCCCCCACTTCCGCTATCTGCATACTGTTGTCAAAATCCCCTTTGCTACGGGAAGCAACAACCTTCGAGCTAACAACGTACACACTGAAAATGGCAGGTTACACTGGGACCAATCGGCTCCACCGGAGCTAAAGTATAACAATGGTCATAAGGTGAATCACACATTCAGCGGCCTACTGTTTTTTAATGGTCTTTTCTTTAGCAGAGAATTGGAGAATTTTAAAGATGGATTCTGTGACTCTAATGTTGTGGTCACACCAAATGCGTTGCAAATGAACATGTTGCATTACTCACGCAAGTTTGAGCGCTACAATATTTTGTGTTGACTCATGTCATACACGCGTGACATAGCTGAATCTATATATAAACTTCCACCAGTACATCCTTGGTGTTTAACATCCCTGGAAGATCTTAATGCTGATTGGCTATCGGGGCACGAATTGGACGCTGAAGTTCAGATTTTTCAACTCTAATGAATAAGCGTATGAAATCACACTACTCGCTTCCTTACTTAACGTATTTCACGTTATTCGACTTTACATGTAATTCACTTGCACAAATTGTTTTATTTGCATTAGGTGTGACGACAACATAATCCAATCCACTTCTTGGTAAATTTAGCAAATATATTGCCTTCACATTCCGCTGGCTACTCACTCTGTGTGCACTGAAAAAATATGTTTGCATAAAAAAAGTTTATATGCAGCTCTGGCTCTTTAAATGGTAAACAAACAAAGAGCCATAACGACAGGGAGTGTTCATGCTCATGCACAGGACGGAGGAAAGGCTGTGCAAAGAGAAAAAGGCAGTTGGGGCACACATTTAGGTGCTGAAATCTACAGCACATTATCAAGCAGAGATGGCAGACAAACAGCCACAAAAGAGAAGGTCAGAGCAACAAAAAATCAAAAAGAAGGGACATGATTAGGGGGAAGAGCTGCTTTAACATCAGTGAGGCTTTTTAACAGTGGAGAGACCTCAGAGAGTTGAACTGCATGAGTTCAGATGCAGAGGTTGCTCTGTTTCTGCTAGTCAGGTAGGTAACATAAGTTTTGCTGTTTCACAGAACTAATACCTGTAGGTGAAGTATCGCGGCCTGGGAAACAGGTTTGTCTGCTCTGCTTGTTAACTTCACATTTGACCTACAGTATGGCTAAGCCATGTCCCCCTCCACTCACTCGGACCAAATATCAAGATTCAGTGACTGGGTGCTATGGCAGGTGTCACAGTACACAGCATTTCGCAGGAGGCAATTGATGATTTTGGGGTCTGAAGTTAAGGTTTTTGGCTCAGAATTTGAGAAAAGGATAACGGCCTTTTTACCATCTTTACCAAGAGTGTCTCTCCATTAGTTTGGTGCTACAGTATTTACACTGAATCATTCAGCATAACGTTTGCCAACCTTTTGTTATCTCTGCAATTACAGATAAATTAATGAAGCTAAGCTCCAGAAGTTAACGTTAGCTTAACTAGAGCCCTTTGGACAACTAACAATGATGTACGATCACCAAAGTACAAAAACTAGAACAAAATAGGCTAATGAACTCCCAGCAAACAAGGTGACATGATGAACAACGCAGCTAGGAGGGTCCATGTCATTGGTCCGACAGCCCATTGGTCCGACATCCCATTAGTCCGACGGTCCGCGGTGCTGAACAGCTCCTGGCAGGCGTATTTCTGCCTTGATGGTGTGCCGCGACTGGCTCTGGGTCAGCTGGGAAAGGCTTGAGGTGGAGCAGGCTCACAGCTTATGTGTTTGTCACTTTCTTTTTCATTTTAACCCACACAATGTTCTTTTCCTGACCCTAACCAAGTGGTTTTTGTGCCTAAACCTAACCAGACCTTAACCACAGGGCATCATGATGATTTCTGAATGGACTTCGGAACAATGGGTTTAATATGGTCAGAACAATGGGATGTCGGACCAATGGGCAGTTCCCGCTAGGAGCTAACATTAGGCTAACTTTTGCTAACGTTAGCTAGTGATTTTAAAGATAGGTCAGCAGTGACGGACCCATAGACTGTAATAATAACGTTGGTTTGTGGACTGCCATTTTGGAGTCTAGAGTTTGGCATTTTGGCTATTGCTATATTGTTTGTTTGTTTTTTGTTGTTGTTTTTTGGAGCTAGAAGTGACCACAGGGTAGAGCTGTGGAGGAGTGAGGGGTGGATCTGACTCATAGTCTGTGGCGAGGCCTCACAGACAGCCTGTCAATCAAGTGCCCCCACCCATAAATATGGGTAACCATAGGCCTAATAAAATATAAACAAAATCATTTATTGTACCAGGCTATTCTGCCCTAAAGGTGGGCAGTTTAACATGGGGACTATGGGGATTTACGATGTTTTGGATCCAGCCTTTAGTGGCCATTGGAGGAACTGCAGCTTTTGGAACTTGTTGGCTTTATGTCTCAGCCTCAGGGGTTGTCCCTTGGCCAGGCCTAAAATTCTTTACTATGGAATTTTTCACCTGTATAATGTCACTTATTGAGGTTAACTCACCCTCAGGCAGCAGACGCTGGGGATTCCGCAATATTGCTCTTTTGGTCAGCTTGCTCATCCAGTTGTTACTGTCATTGCCTTGGTAAGGCTGGTCCATTAATTTGGGGGTGGAGCTTCTGAAGGAGTACATGTATTTGTTTGGATTTTTAATGTGATTATCAACAATCTTTCTCTAGAATCATAGACCAACTGTAATGATAGTGCCTGCCTTCTCAAGTGCAAATCTTTCACCAAGTTCACCCAACACTGCTTTGCAAGGGCACGGTCACTGCGTCTTGAGCTTAGCACTGCCCAAGAAGATTATGATTGGTTTAAAGAAATATTAACAAGCCAAAGCACTATAGCAGAATGACAAAGTGTGTTTCGAGACCTTTTTCTAGCACTGACACAGAGCTGTAAAAATAGGTGTGGCTACATGAGACTAGAGGAGAGGCAATGGGAAAAGGGAGAAAAAACAGCAGATGAGTGGAGAGAAAATTAAAAGAAAGGAAAAAAGAGGAGAGAAAAACTGAGAGGTGGGAAGAAAAGAGGAGAAAAAGAAGAATATGAGAAGAGAGGAGAGAAGAAAAACTGGGAGTAGCAGAGAGCTGAGCGCTGCAATATTGCTGCCAAACTAATCTATTATAGAAGTGGATAACGTATTTTATAGGATAATATAAATTTAACTTACAAAGACATTCAAATAAATAACATATGCAGACTGATTTTAAAGCTTGAGTCAGCTATGTGCCACAACTTAGTTCAGCTGGCAGCAGAATGAAAAGCTGTGAATGTGTTTATGTGTGTGTTTTCTAATATTGAAAATCTTGTGAAAGATGATGTAATTTAAAGAGGGGACCTTTATTGACCTCTAATGGTGACCAGAAGAAACTGCAACATTAACATACATTACCTGTGACCATACACTGAATTGGCATCTGACACTGGGCAGTCTTTTGCGTTTATCATCAGCACTCTTTCCAGAAACCCTCTCTGCAACCACCACATTCAGCAGCAGACAGCTCCTGTCTCACACCTCCTCCCCTCTCCCAACTTACCTCACTTCAGTCCAGAGCAGTGTTTTCCACAAGACTGTGTGTCTGTGTTTGAGTCAGCAGACGTAGCCAGAGTGATCGATAGTCCTATTCCTGACCTTGGAAAGAGCAGTACAGAATTTCAGCGCTGCCCCATATTTCAGGGACACAGCTTGAAAATAGATATACATTACAGCTATCCTGCTGCATTCAATTTTGTCATATTGAAGGTCTTTATGTGCATTTACTTAAGATGATGTATGGTACCACGTGGGGATTTAAAATTTCAGACCCAATATGATCAGTAAGGGAGTCAGCTGTTGCATGGCCATCTGCATACTGTGTTGTGAGTGTGCCAGTCCCTGGCACCAGATAGGTTTGTACTTGGCAGAGGCAGAAGCATCAAGGTCTTGAAATTTGAGGCCAAAATAAGCTGAGTGTGCTGGCATTGCACAGGTGAAAATATATTTTCAGCTAAAAGACATAAGTGAACAATAGTCAGTCTGGCTGCCTGAAAGAAAAATGACAGGATGACAATAGGAAATGACAGGTGTTTGGTTCAGTTTGATCCTGTCATAAACTGTGGGTGGGGGCCCCCTTTGCAGTTTTGTCCTTGGTGCTCTTTTCAGATTGAGTTTGTACATGGGCCAACACAATGATTTCAGTAAAGACTGCACTAGGCTAGAAGTTACCAATAGCAGTGAAACATGGTACCATAACTGTAGTTGGCACATAAACTATATAATGATAGCAGATGGATCTGCTGTGATGTCACCCATTTGTGGAGTATGGCATTTTGGCCATATTTTGACGAGAGGGTGGAACTGTGGAGGAGCGAGGGCTGGATTTGACTCCTACACCCGGGCCATACTCAGCACCTTTACATGACATTAGAAATATAACTGTGATAGTATATTAGAATATAGTGTATTAACTGTGATTGGACTTCTATGGCTCGCACATGTTCACACAGACAGTGTTGCTGTTGCAAAGCTGGCTGCTACTCTTTTTCCACAATCAAAAGCTGGTACTCTGCTAATTTATGGAGCCGTGCAATTCACTGCATTGTCGACAAAACAGCCCTGAAAATATTTCACATTAAAAAGCTTTGTGTTAACAAATACACAAATTCAGAAACATTGTCAAAGGGATTTTAATTTGTAACAGAAACAGGAAGTGTTGAGTTAAAAAGAAATATTTATATTTTTTCATGTCTGTGAAAGATAAAGACATGGAAACTGCGATGTTAATATAATTATCAGAACCATTTTCACAATTTATTTTTGCTGAAAACCTTGTACATGGAAAAATTAGCCGAGACTCCTATTCTCTTGATGTTCTACCGCTAAGCTGCATATGATCAGTGATGCCCACATGGGCATTTTGGCTTCTCTAACCTGTTAACATGGGTGCTGACAAAAAAAAAGACTTTAATCAATACACCTGTGAGAGACTGTGGTGATGCAGCACATCACTTGAAGTGGACACCCCCTTAATGATGCATAAATTTAAGCTTTAATAAAATTTAATCAGGTAAGTTATAAAAAAAAACAAACAAAAAAAACAGGGAAATTAGCTATAGAGACCAGCTTTTGTGCCAGGCTGTAAACATGTTTATTTCTGCAGTAAAGTTGGGCATTTCAATATGGGGATCTACGGGGATTGAGTTGCCTTGTCTTTTAGAGTTCACTGGTCAATATCTTCAAAACACAATGACATATTAGCAATCTTTGAAACCTTTCATTAGCTTGGTTGAACAGAGATCTACAAAAGATAGACCAACCAAGAGACTAAATCAAACCAGAAGAGGAAAATGTTCCCTTCATTATCATCAAGCCAATGGCAAGTAGCATGCAAACTCAAAGCAAACTCATCTCTTGACCCTATTTAGTCATATCTTCTTGAGTCTTCAGTTCTACTGGATGCAAAATAAATGCTGTCTTATAATAAATGTTTATGAGATTTTGAACTAACCAGACTGTACAAAGGTTTAAAAAGCAAAAGAAATATGTATCTTAAGATTTTCATGAATGTCTATTCATTTTGTTACTTGATGTAACTGATGTGAGCCCACAGGTAATCGCTCCTTCTCTTTCTCTGTATAGGTCTGATGGTCTTCCTGAGCATGATGTTGGGAGCATTCCTGTGGGGCGGTCTGGCAGACAAACTTGGCCGGCGGCGCTGTCTCATTGTGGCATTAGCAATAAACTGTGTCTTTGCCTTCTTGTCTTCGTTCGCCCAGGGCTATGGATTTTTCCTCTTCTTCAGGCTGCTGTCTGGCATTGGGTAAAACAAACATTGCTCATACTTCCAACAGTTTTTGACTGGACTGCAGCAAAGCAGGGCCAACTCAATAAACTGAAAAGTCTGTCCCAGACTTACTGAGTGACTGATGAACTTACATCACTGGTCAATCAAGTTTTGGACTTTCCCTGCTGGTTGTTGCTCTTTCAAAATAAATATGCTCCACAGTGTTTCTGCTGTTTTATACATTTGTTGTGTGTTTACCTCAACTGCAAGAGGAAAATAAATAATTTGAGGCTGCTTTTTGAAGCAGGCTTCTAAATATATGTTACGGCATTAAGCTAGTAATACAAACTTAATTCTTCCTGTATCCACTATCCAGCCCTGTTGTGTTTCAGTGGAGAAAATCCCTTAATTTTCTTTCAGTCATGGCAACAATTCTCATGACAGGAGTGAAGTGGACATACTTTTACAATGAATAAATTCATCCTAAAAGGGACAGCTTTAATGCATTTGAAATTTTTGGTGCCGCGCCATTGGCAAGGCCCAAAATTCAAAAGTGCCATTACTCCAGAAAAATTTCCTACTGGACCCATTAACAAACAGCCCAGTAACAAAAAACCCAAAACACCCTGTGCTCTGAAGTCCATATCCAAAAATACACACCCCACACATTTAGTGTTCAATTTCCCAGCAGTCTTTGCACTACCAATACCAAGTGTTTCTCAACCCATTCCTGCTTTTACAACAACTTTTGTGCCACCAAATGTGGGTGTTTTAAGCAAAAATCTTTTCCTCACCATAACCAAGTGGTTTTTGTGCCTTAGCCTAACCACATGTTAACCACAGCGTTGTTGACAATGTCACACGTGGTTTACAGAAACATATAATGACAAACATTTTTTCTAGCGATTGGGTTGAATATCTGCAAGAAGTTTACATTTTGGGGGAAATGGAACATTTGTTTTTGGAATAATGGGCTGTCAGAGAAATTGGTTTTCCGTCAACTGGGGCATTTTTTGGACTTACAAGGTTTTGAAAATTTGGGTAGTTGGAACAAAGGACAGCCCCCAAATTTTTTCACTTTTGTGTTATTATTTCTCCATTAAGGAAAAAGTTTTATTATTCAATTATTAGCTGTAATTACAACTGTCTCTTTCTCTCTTTCTTTGCTTTCTCATTATCCCTCTCTACTCTCAGTATTGGTGGCACGGTGCCAATTGTGTACTCATACTTCTCCGAGTTTCTTCAGATGGACAAGAGAGGAGAGCATCTGTCCTGGTTGTGTATGTTCTGGATGATCGGGGGGATCTACGCTTCGTTCACTGCCTGGGGAATCATACCCAGATACGGTAAGAACTTAAAAGAGGTCAGTGAGGACAGAACACAATATAGAAATGCTTTAATGGTGCTTGAGAGTAAAGTGGGTCATTTCAACTGCCACTTTAGAGTTTTCTCAGTCCTGGGGTTGGACCCCATGTGGAGTCACTTTATGTACAGCCATCTCTCATTGAACTGCCTAACTTCAACCTGAGCAGAGGTCTAATCAGCCAGAATAACTAAAAACACTTGTGGGGTATGGGGGCCTTTAATTCTTAGCTTTACTGGACAGTAGTTGTAGACCTCACATTAATGATAGCGAACCACGTTTCTCTGATGGTCAATGACAGGCTTTATAGTATGGCAACCAGCACACAGTCGGCAGTAATTCAAATTCTTGAAATGCACAGTTTAATATGGCCTTTTGTTAACTGGCTTACTGTTTTCTTTTTAAATCTTTACAAATTATTGTGAATGTCAAAGGAATGAAAGGTGTCAAAAGAATATTGTCATATGTTTAAAAATCTGTGTGTGTGTGTGTGTGTGTGTTTACAGGCTGGGGGTTCAGTATGGGCACAGAGTTCCAGTTCCACAGCTGGAGGGTGTTTGTCCTGGTTGCGGCTCTTCCTGCTATCGCCTCTCTGGTTGGACTCACCTTCATGCCTGAGAGTCCTCGCTTTCTCCTGGAGGTGAGACTGTAGACATTTTCATACTGGCCATTTACCCTAACACTTGGATGCAGTGACGCAGAGCAGTTTACAGTTCAAATGGCGTCATTAACCATAAACCATCTTAACTAAAAAAATGTAAAAGCAATTTAAATTACTTACAATACCAAAGAGGAACACAGGACCTCTATGATGTTGAACAAATCAACAATGTATTACACATTTATACTTGATTATGAACTACTTTAATCCTTGGGTCGTATCATTGTGGCCTTGCATACACTTTACATGCATAAACCCCAGCTTTAATGCTCACTGCCTCTAGCAGATGGTGGTTAGAGTGGAGTTGAATGCGTGCATTTATAGTATGTACAGGACCATAAACTGATGCGTGTTAATGGTGATGTCACTGCACATTAGTTGCATATTCTTTTCCTTTACGACATAATTGTTTTCACTGTATGCTTGTACATCTGTGTGTCTGTGTTTGTGTGTGTGTGTGTGTGTGTGTTGAGCAGAATGCAAAGCATGATGAGGCATGGATGATCCTTAAGCAGGTCCATGACACCAACTGGAGGGCCAAGGGACAGCCAGAAAAAGTCTTTACTGTAAGTGAATTTAGCTATCTAAAGCCCTGTTTCCATTAAACACTTTCAGTGTGGTACCTATGGAACCAAAAGTAACCCTTCAGACGTGGTACCTAGACCCAAGGTCCATTTAGCGTTTCTACCACAAACAGTACTTAAAGGCGCTGTATGTAAGAATGTGGCCAAAACGGTTACTGCACTCAAATTCAAAATACTGCCGCAGGTCGTGTCCGCCCCCCCTCCCCTACAGATTTGAGGTTGCTGGACAGCGGCACGCTGGAGACTGATTTGTTTGCCCATGGGCGGCTGCCGTGGCAGGGCCGCTTCGCCGTGTCCTTGATCTTCGGTTTTCCAGTGGACCATTCGAGCAAGTCCGGCTTCTCTGCTGCTAACGCTGCTGCCGGGATACAGCTGAGGAGACTGCTAATGCTATGTACCGGGACACTGTTAACGCTGCTGCCGGGATACAGCTGAGGAGACTGCTAATGCTATGTACCGGGACACTGCTAATGCTGCTTGCCGTGCTGCTGTAACTCAGTCGTACTGATGCTGAGACTCTACTGACTGCGTGACTGGTAGACGGCGGTGGGTGGAGCAACAGGCCAAAACACAAATTCAAAACATAAACATGATTTGCGGACCGTAAAATTTTTTTTTAAATGCGAATATTCTGGCTGTACTATTGTTGTCGGTGAGATCAGTATGTTATATGAACATTATTCCTTAGTCTCTGTGACATATTAGGAGGATTTTATGACTATTTGCTTTAGATTTCTTACATAAGCTCCTTTAAATGTGGGCGGGGTTGTTGTCACTCACTTGTTGTCTTTAGGCCCCTGAGACACCAAGCCAATGGTCGGCTGTCGATCAGTAATGGGCCACTGGTGAACGTTTGTTGCTACAGTATTTTGCAATGTGTCCTGCAAAGTTGACACTAGTTGCAGGCCAATTCAGCATGTTGAATCAGGGTCAGACACTGCAAATGCTATCTGTGAATGATAATCACTGTAACTGGCAGTTGAGCTCAGTGAGAAGAGAAACGTAATTGAGCAAACACACAGCTAATGTCAAGAGGGCATGAGATAGAAATTATTACGAAATTATTATATTCGATAAGATTCTTTTCTTTAGCACACTGAGCGCTTTGGCAGAAAAGGTTTGTTATTGTTTGTGTTGCACAGTAAATAACATCATCATGGCTCTGTTCAAATGTGACAAAAAAGCTTAGAACTGTTACAAATTAAGAATCAGGCCGTCTTTGCATCAGAGCAGAAAGAAGGCTGAAGCCACCCTTTCATCATCTGGTTGCTATCAGATTTAATCTGATGTGATTTCACTATGTTATCAGTACCTTTTTAAATAATAGTCTAAAATGCTGTTCCTACAACCTCTGTGAAGAATGATAGTTTAATTCATTCATTTTTCAACACTATATATTTTTTCCCCTGCCTGACAAATTAGTGGTAGTGACTACATTCTGATTGTGCAAGTTTCATTTCTAAGTCAATAGCCTATATTATATTTTTAGATATCTGAAGAGCTGACAAGAGCTGACTTGATTTTTTTCCTTCCTTGAAATAAGAGAAAATAACAACTAAAATCTTCCCCTGGGATTAGGTGTATGATCCAGCAGACAAGACCTCATACTGATGTTAAAAGCATGTCTGTCATATTCATGAGAAGCCACGTGAACAAAAATCAAATGTTCTTTTAAATCTCTTTTATCTTCTCAGGTGACTCACATCAAGGCTCCTAAGACAGCAGAGGATGAGTTTATTGAGATTCAGAGTGCTACAGGAACAGCTGTACAACGATGGGCTGTACGCTCACTAACACTCTGTAAACTGGTATGTATTACATTCCCAATACAAGAAGGGATTAGAGCTGGAAACATGTTGGCTCAGTGGTTAAGACTGTGGTTAGGGCCGAGGCCTCAAAGGAGGTTGGATGTAGGTTTGTTTTTGTACGCTTCTCTTGTTTGCCTTTCTCCCTCCAGAGTACATGACAAGACTAGCAGACCAAAGGACTAATACAAATCAAATTGTGTTTGCAAAGTGATGGCGTGTCCTCACTGTTTAACTCTGACAGTACATGCTGGGATTCTGGAATTAGCCAACATGACTGTAGTTTTTCTTGGGTCTTCTTGTAGAAGACACTGGGGTCTTCAGTAAGACTTAAGGCCTGGTGTTACCCATAGACTGTATAAAATCATGGACATAGCCATGTGATGTGACCCATGGGTTTATGGACTCCTGTTTTGAAGCTTCAAGTTCGGCATTTTGGCTGTCACCATCTTGGATTTTGGAGCAAGATGTGACCATATTTTGACGAGAAGGTGGAGCTGTGGAGGAGTGAGGGGTGGATCTGACTGAGAGCCCAATGACACTGTCTGCAGACAATCACTCAAAGCAGTGATGGCCTTGCTATGAATACATGTAGCTTAACTATCCCTTAAAGGGATAGTTGGGTTTTTTTGAAGTGGGGCTATATAGTATAGTATATATAGTGTATTAGATACACTGACTGGCAGTTGGCACGTTCCAAAGATAGTGGTGGGCATGCTCCTTGTTTAAAGGAACAGACAGGACTAGCACCCCAGAAGCTCAGCAATACATTGCTCTGCATGACGATTAGCAGCAAAACATATGTTAGCTACTTAAAAAAGGCCTACCTAAAAAAATCAATATCAGTCCAAGTAGACGCTAAATTTAGAACATTTTCACCACTTTACCTTGCCATCAGACAGCCCTTTCCATTGGCACTACATTTTCTCAACCGTATGACCTCCATGTTCCTAAGCAAAAACAACCAACTGTGCTGTGCACTTCATTTTGCCGCAGAACAGCTGTTCAGGTCAGACTAAGCAGTTTATGGAGGAGACAACATGTACAAGAAAAAATAAATAAAATAAATAACATCAAAATGCTGTTCACTTTGAGACAAAAGGATCCCTTTGTAAACCGGGGTATACAGAAAAATAACCTTTACTGATATTGACTTTTTTTTAACTAAGCCTTTTTAAGTGCCTAAAGTACATTTTGCTGAAAACCCTAGTCCACAACAATTCATTGCTGAGCTTCTGGGGTGTTGGTGCTGTCTGTTTCCTCAAAAAGGGAGCGTGCCGACTGCCATCTACTGTATGTAATGCATTGACTACAGTGACTATAGATAAGTATCTCATAAAGCCCTACTTCAAAAAACCTTGAACTATATTTAAATGGGTGTGGGTAAAAATTCAGCCCCTGTACAGAACAGGAAAGTTAGAGACCAGAGACCTTTTTTATTGTCCCAGGCTGTAAACATGTTTATTTCTGTTGTTAAGTTGGGCATTTTAACAAAGGGGTCTATGGATATTGACAGGCTTTTGAAGCCAGCCTCAAGTGGTCATTGAAGGAACTGCAGTTTTTGGTACTTACATGTTGGCTTCATTTTTAGCACTGGATGTTGCCACTTGGTCACACCAGAGAGAGGTACACCGGAATTAATCTAAACATCTTTGTGAAATATTTGGCTCTAAAAGCTTGGTGACAAAGTGGTTAAATTGCAGGGCTAGTTGGTGAACTACTGTAGCTGATGACCTAAGCACAAACTTGCTAAAGGGCTATCGCTATTCAATTACAATAGCTGCTGCAGATTCTCTCTACTGTTCTGTTTACTCCCACTCATATTTTTGTAAACCGTTTCCTTTAATAACTTATTTGACTCATAACCAATACCGATATCGATGTATCCACTTTTTTCCCACCAACACCAAAAATGATCATGAAATCTCTTCCACGGTGGAATTAACATGGAGATGGCAGATGGAGACACAAAATAGAAAGCTTTTAAATGTATGTAATATTCATTCATTGTGAAAATTAAGAAAAAGCATGTTGGCCGATTCTAACAGTTCATTTAAAACAGATATTGGCCGATACTGACGATGTGCATCCCTACAATATAACATATTTTTCTTTTTTCCCTGATGGTCTAATTAAGTGCTAAATTTGTTGCCCTTTTTTAAAATAGATTTGCTAAGAGGGTCTTAAAAGTCTCTAAATCTAGCGAGAAAATTGCTAAGTTGGGAACACTGAAAGCAAACACTACATAACCCTCCTCCACATTGGACTTTCCAACTCTCCCTCCTCTGCAAGTCAGCACTGTCAAGAGTGCTTGCTGCTTGTCAATGCTGCGAATTTGTGGGTCAAAGTTCGCTAAAGTTGAACTTGACACGAAAAATGTGGGCAGATTTCTTCATATTCAGATCCAATTATGCACTGGACTGAATATGTAAGTGTGACTAGGCCTTTATCCTGTCCGTCTACACTTGAGAGAATTAAATACTGTAATATGTAATTTGCTATCTTGTGAGTATAACAATGCTACTGGTAAATTTCACATTTTCAATTTAAGTTTAGGATTGAGTTAGGCACAACTTCTTGGATGGATGCAACAGTTTCAAATGCCATCAGATACTCAAAATACTACACAACTTGAAATGGTCAAGCTCAGGGATATTTTCTTATTTAATAAAACCAAGACACAGGGGTCTTCACCCAACCGTAACTGTAAAACAAACCTTATTTTGGAATCATATTGTTAAGAGATAGCAAACACCCAGTAGCACGTACGGTAATACTGTATAAAGTGGTTCACTGCTGTTATGTGTGTATCTGTCCCAGGTGCTGAGGAATGTAGCATCACTCCTGTCTGCAGAACTGAGGTTCGCTACACTCTTCATGGCCATCATCTGGTTCTGCATGGCTTTCAGGTTAGTACACAATGTCAAAATATTACATCACCATCCAGGTTGATAAGGAACAGCAGCATGGTATATGTAGGCGTCTCAGACGGCCTGTCGGTCCACAGGGACACAACAAAGAGCAAAGCTGTTTCAAAAATAAAAACTCAAAAAATTATTTATACAGCAGAGGAACAAGAGTCTAATCCCTGATGTGATAGAAAGCTGCAGTCTTTCTGTTAGGGTTGCGGTTACATTCTGGTTGTTTATGCACCTTTTAATGATTAAGTTTTCTCTCGATTTGCATTTTGTTACAGTTACTATGGTCTGTCTGTTTGGTTCCCTGACATGATCAAACACCTTCAGTATGAGGAATACGAGTCCAAGGTCAAGGTAAAGTGAATGACAACTGATGCAACTCATAGAAACACAGATCAGTTTGTCCTGCTTTGGTGACAGCAAGAGATTTTAATCTTTACTGATAAGCATATCCATGGTTTAAATTGACATTGTTTGGTTTTAAAATACCTGTGCAGAAAATTGATTCATGTTGTTTTCTCTCTCTGTTTAGGTGTTCCATAGAGAACGAGTGAAGAACTTCCATTTTAATTTTTCTTTAGAGAACCAGATTCATAAAGAAGGGGAATACATCAATGACAAGTAAGTCTCACTGTATCACCCTCTGAACACAATGCAAACAGAGATATTTACCACAGGTTTGAGGTTTACATGCTGAGGTATAGTGTACTTAAATATTTCATAGCAAATAAAGCATCTGCTAAAAGAAAACCCACCATCTTTATTGACTAAATTCATACCATCCTGTTCTGATTCTCAGATCATCAAATACCAATGCTTTGTCTCACCCCTCAGCAGCTAATACCCATGCACAGGGCACCCTTTAGCATCTGTATGCACAGTGGTCTTAATATGCAGTCAACATTGTGTTAGGTTTAGGCAATAAATTACTTGGTTAGTAGTGATGTACAATTTTAAAGATGGGTAAGTAACCTACATGCTGTCTATCTGTCATTTGTACTTTTTACAAGAGAAAACATGTTTTATATTGTGATATTTATTGGAAATGGACATACAATATAGGACATACAATATAGTCAACAGTAAGTAGGTCATTACCAGAAACTTTCAGCTCCAGTTTATGGTTCGGGTTTGGGCCATTGATCAACGCATGTTTATGGGTCAGGCAGAATGGGAAGGCACTCATAACTGGCCAGGTTGATGTGGGTTTTAAAAACCCTCACCCATGCATAACTGTTAGTTAGGGTTATGGTTATTATGTTTTGACTTAAAATAGTACATTTGTTATGGGGTTCTGGATAGATGTAATGTGACATAAATAATGTGACGCCCATACTTCAGTTATGTTAAAACAACAGTGACTATGAGTTCCACATGGGACACCAACAGTGGTCTCCTGGGTGAAAGTCCAGTGTTTGTTTTTGTTTGTGTCTTGCTCTTTTTACTATGTAATTTGCTCTCAACATCAAATGTCGTAGCAAACAGGTTTACGCTGGAGTCAGCTGAAAGCCCAATGCATCGCTGAAAGGTGCCTTTGGCAGCAGTAACACACATCAAGAAGTCTGACAAAGTGTTGGTATTTGACAACCTGGGAATGACAATGGGATTTCATATCACATAGCCAACGCAGAAATGAGAAAAATTGTTTCTTTATTCTTCTCTCCAACAGCTTGCAAAGTAAAAAAGGAAAAAAAAATACATATTTTTTACTACTGTATGTTACTATGTAATTGTTTCTATATAGTATAGTATAGTATACAATGTATAAGTATATGTTTAGTGCATAGTTTGTACATAAAATGGCTGTTGTGGGCCTGTTCAGTGTTAAATTGTCAGTAGGGAAGTAAATTTACACTCGTGAAAACCATCATCAGTTAAGTTACTGACCAGAAATCATATTGTATGACCTCTGTATGGCATTTTTCTCTGTTATTGCATTTATTATGAATTAAGTGAAGCTACAGGGCTTTCTAACACATGGTTTCTTGGTCTTTTGGTGGAATTGGAATGCCTGTACCTTTTTACATATGCTTTGTGCTGAAACATGCTTAGCTTTCAATAGTTATGCACAACCCCACTTTACCTTTTTGGAAGTAGTCAGCAGTGTGTGGCTGGTCATAGCCTTCTCTTTAAGACAGCTACAGTGTCACCAACACCTTACCTCAGTAAACATAAGCATTAATAGGTCTATCAGTCACTTCATTCTCAGTTATGTTGTTATCGGAAACTGTTATGCATGCCGTGTTTTGTTGTATGTGTTGTATGTGATGCCTTGGAGCTCATAAAACATTAGCAATATGTCTACAGGTAATCACTTACTGCATTTGCTAATGGTCAGGTCAAACAAACATTGAATTACATTGTGAAGACAGTAAACCATGACAGGTTTATAAAGGCTTCACACGTTTATTTTAAACAGTATACTTTTATTTTGTATACATGCATACGCCAAAGGTTTATTATCTATATATGGGTGAAGATAGTTAAGATACGCCCCCTGACTTTGTTAGAATCCCATAAATCCCTGTTAGCTCAATGTTTTAAAATGAAGCTGTGCATGAAAGTGTATGCAGCTGTGGCAGGACAGAAGCCCCTCTACACATAATCAGCAGCAGAGTTGCTTAAGTTTCACCATTGACCTTAGTTTTTTTGTGATCTTCCAATGTGCAGCTAATCATTTGACACCTGAATGTGCATGTTAGTCCTGTGCCTCCTTGCAGTTCATCCTCACAAAATATGTATGTGGGATCCATGTGGGTAGGCTGAAAAATGGGCTTGATATGGGATTGTCCATGAGTTCCGTATTGACCCCATGCTAATTGCCCACATGGGTGGGTTTACTCAAGTGGGCTCCACATGGATTATGCTAGGGCTACCTGGTTCATTACATAGAAATAGAAAAAAATGCAAACAAAACCACACTTTTCATTCTAGGCCTCTTGAGCCTCCATGTGTAGATGACCTACAGTAAGGGTTGTTCTTTACTGAGGTATATATGATTTGACCATATTTGCCGTGTGTGAGGACTGTGCCTGCATATACTCTGATAGCTCAGTGAGACAGATTTTAAAATTTAGCAGAAACCTCAAATGCTAATTGCTCCCTGTATAGCCTATTCATGAATTTTCATGAATTCATGAAGGTTTTTTCTCAAGATGAAGGAGTATGCAGCTAACCCTACCACTAGCTGCTAGCTTAGTTAGCACGGTGCATTTACAGCTATGGTAGTAATGCTAAAACTGATAATTTTCACACAGGCTTAAAACCATTTGCAACCAAACCCTGAACAAGATTTTTTAGGTGACTAGAATGTTACAATTAACTTTCATGAACTGAAGACTCACTGAAATAGCAACAGGTACAGCTATGACTGTACTCATTGCATCTGCGATTACGCCATGGTTACCCAACCAATGTTGACGCCATGGCAGTGACTCAGTGGATGGCACCCACCTGTCGCTGAAAGCAGCCACATCCTTGATTATGCATTACTTTACAGCCTTAATAACATTTAAGTGGGTGCGTTATCTAAAAGTTCAGCCCCTGTACAGTTGTTTTGAACAGGGTATTTAGTTAAAGAGACCGAAACTGATTTTGAAAACACGTTTATTTCTGTTGTAAAGTTGGGCATTTTAACATGAGGATGTATGGGGACTGGCTCACTTCTGGAGCCAGCCTCAAGTGGTCATTAGAGGTGCTGCCGTTTTTGGCACTTTCATGTTGGCTTTATTTTTTAGCCTTGGAGGTCAGTGATTGGTAATCGCCTGAGTTCATGGCAGTTACAGCTAATCATTGTCCTTTCCATTGTATGCTACAATTCATTCAATCAGAACAGCTCTTGGACACAGATTGGACCACTACAGTTGCATGCACTTAGTTGAGTCTCAAAGTGGTGAGCTGGGAGGAAACTTCGGAACCAGGGATTGTTATTGGGTTTTATAACAAAATGAGGGGGCAAGAACACTTTACCTCTGTGAGAGAACATTTTTAGTGTAGATATACAGTATATTACATTACTGTATATTATTTAACTTCTATGCTTTTTGCAGAATTGAAACAGACAGAAGGGGGCAAACTTTAAATTCAGAGTGAATATAATAACTAATAGAGCTGTCACTGAATATATCATATTGCCATGGAGATGATCATTCCACCGTTTTGACTCCAACACACTGTTTACATTAATGCTTATTTCCATGGCAGTATTATCAGTGGTGGCCATCTTGGATTTAGAGCACTTGAGCCCATTCTGTCCTTTCTAATTCTGTGCTCCCACAGCAATAGAAGTGAGAGTCCATGTTTTTTTTGTCTGTTGGTTTGTGTGTGTGTCCCATCCCATCCCCATAGGTTCATCAGTATAGAGATGAAGTCAGTGAAGTTTGAGAACTCACTGTTTGAAGACTGTCACTTTGAAGACATCAAGTCCACAGACACTGTGTTTGAGAACTGCACCATCCATTCCACTGTCTTCTATAATACAGGTAGGTTCAGCCGGAGCAGGAGCCTGGAGGACAAAGGATGCAGGGTAGAGATCAAATGTATGTTGGATTAAATCAAAAGCTGTACTCACAGGACCAAATGCCAGCCCATCATTGTCCAGTGTGGAGTTACATGGACCACACTTGAAAAAAAAACTGTGAACTGGCTCTATCTTAACCTTGGTTGCCTTTAAGTAGGTTGCCATTGGGTCCACGGTGGGAAAACAAGTGAGCCCCGTGTGAGCCATTACTCTGAGGCACCTTAGTTGATAAAAGAATAGACAGGAATCAGAACAAAAAGCTGCATTGTTCCTGACATGTTTAACCATTCAAAACCAGAAATTGTTAACAAGTATTTGCAATGCTCACATCATACTCAATATGAAACATGATGTTTCCCTATTAGACATGTCATATTGACAGCACTGCATTGCAAAGCCACAATACTTGTTATCCCTAACCTATACAGATGGTGGGCTGCTGAGGCATTAGAGTGTTTATCTAACCCACAATAAATGCTTTAATAACATTCTGCCAATCTGATTCTGCCTGTAAGTTGATTCAAATCTGAGCTTTCTGGTAGAGTTCTGACCATTGTTGGCAAAAGTTTCATTCATTCATTTAAGTAACTTTATGATGATTAAAGGTATCTCACAATGATAAATGCTAGACCCCCTGAAAATCACTGCATAAATACATATCGATGTCCATTTTTATGCAGATATAAAAACTCTGTACTCTTGTGCATTTCAAAAGACTACAGAGCTTTGATGTTCCTGTAATCAACTTTATATATTGATAATAGAAATCTAACAGATAGATAGATAGATTTTGACAGGCTCAGATTGCTATTAGAAGTTAGGGATGGGTGATATATTGAATATACTCGATGTATCGTGGCTTGTTCCACATGGGATATATATAAAATGACTATATCATGAACATTGAGTATAAATGGTCACATCATTTTTTTGGGCCATTGGCATGAGACTCTCTTCGACATCTCGGTTCTCTTGCTCCCCTCTGTGGCTCACATAAAGAAAGACTCACAAACATGATTCGTCAGTCACAGACACATTCCTCTGTCCATCCAGATCCCTTTCCCCCATGCGATTGTGTTAACAGGCTAGGTGTTCTTCTCATCTGCAGGGCTCCAGACCACTACTACATTTTGTCACATTTCAGACCACAGAGTTCCACTGCAACTTGCAAATGTTATTAATATGTGGACTAGAGAGCTGTTTATTGGTGCCGTGGTAACTTTATGAGATTAACAATAGCATAAGCAGAGGAAGTATGTGTCTTTTTACCTATAGATCTCCATATTTAGTCACACTTTGCGACTATGGAGCACCAGTGTGACCTGCAAATAATTACATAAACTGTGGAGCTGTTAGTTTGTTTCCAGCTCACAGTGAATTAATCCTCGCATTTAACAACACCGTGGTAATAGTTTAACTTTCTGCTACCTGCTAACATGTGAAGTTCAAGTTCAAGTACAAGTTCACAGCAACAACATCACCGCAGCCTGAGCCAGAATACTTTATTTAATTTAATTAAAATAGTATTTTTTTTAACTCTATTATAACAGTACTTTGATTATTTATTATTAAATGATGACAGTAGCTAAATTGTATGTTATTGTAACTTGAGTGCATTTAATAATTATGATAATAGTTATTGAAAATATTGCGATATATATCGTGTATCACAATACAGCCTAAAAATATCTCAATATTATTTTTAAACCATATCGCCCAGCCCTATTATAAGTGTCTGACAACATTAAAAGACAAGAAAAGGATCCCTACAGTCAGTCAGTCAGTCCCTTTTTTAAAAGAGTAAGATCTTTTTTGTTGGACCAGAAACAGCCCCACAATCACCTTTGCCTAACCCACCAGACTCCATTTAAATCAACAGTACTTTTAGCGTGTATAGATCGAGCATATTTTCACATTGGGTGATTTAAGATTTATTTCACCCAACCAGAGTTGATGATTCTGATGAACAGTAGAAATTCTAACCTAGCAGCTTTTGTGAGTTTTATTTTGTTTCTGTCAACTTGAAGTGTGTTTTACGATGACAAAATAACTGTTTATTTAAATAGAGTCTGGTGGGTTTGGCTATGGCGATTTCAGGGCTGTTTCTGGTTAAACAAAAAGGATCTTACTCTTTAACAAAAAGGCTGACCTCTGTAGTGATCCTTTCCATAAGCTGTCAGACACTTGAAATAATAGTCTGAACAAGACAGTGACAAAAACAAGCACTTTTAGTGGACGTACATTGACGATGCAAACAAGTCCCTAATGATTACATCGCAGTCTGTCTGCAGGCTGCAGCCCTCTTGCTCAATACTGGAATGTAAATTAAAAATCTTTGTTCCCATTAGTCACTTCAACACAAAAACATGGGAAAATAGAGTCCAGTTTGAAAAAAACTTAACCTTCAACAGAGATACACAGGATACACAGGATCCTGTGATGCTTTATGGTCATAGGATTCCTCAAGTACTGACCGGTTGTCTAGCTCCAACAGTCCATGTCTCCTTTAGAAATGTGCTGCTATGTGTGTCATAAGGCACTTCGGTTACTTGGGAATTCAGTCCCATGTAATGGCTTCAGTGCAAAATTTCTATCGTTTTTTTATTGTTAATGTGGATAAAACTAAAAACACTGACATGTTTTTCTGCTGCAAATATTATGCAAATAGACCATAAAATACAAATAAGAGTGTGTATTACATGAAAAGTATTTGTATAGGGGCAAGCACAAGTATAGCATGAACGAAAGCCACATAACACTGCAAATTCAAATTCAGACTTTCAGACATTCAAATTCAGACATATCCTGAATCCAGGTTAGGGTTAGGTTGTTATATGAACAGGAACTGCTGACTGCTCAAGCAGCAGGACTTGATGCAGACTTGCCCAAATGTAAAGAAATCGGCTATAGGCTATTAAACATGCAGTAACCTTAGATTTAAGTTCAATATTCAGACATTCAGTGAGGCTCATCCTCGATAACTTTTCATCAGTTTTCACCTGATCTGTTCAATGCAGGATAAAACTTGACTGATGTTATTTTTACCTCATGATCCAATATTGGAACCTTTCATGACTTGACAGAAGATGGGAAACTGAGGAGCTTAAGTGCACTCAGAAGTGTATGAATGGATCAAGAGAGCTTTTGAGATGTTGGTAAATAGCTTTCTCAGTTTTAAATAGATATTTCAAACTAAATGTATTTCCTCCCATTGCATGCACAGTCTTTTTTTTATGATGCAATGGGGCCTCATTACCTGTTGTGGCCCCCACTTTTTGTTAATAGACAAAACAATAGATACATCAGGCCAACTTTCATCCAGTGTTAACACAATCTTCAGTTTGTATGGCAAAACATGCAATATGACCCAATACAATTCTGTATTTAGACTCATTCTAGCCCTTTTCCTTTTTTCTTTTGTTGATGGTCAGGGTTAAAATACAAATTAGGTTTTAGTATTTGATTAATTCAGACACATGTTTGATTTTTTTTCTTTTTGGTAGCTAAAGAATTTAATGCAGAAAATGAAGCAGGCTATATTGTTTGTGACATGTCAGATAGATATCACGCTCACTTTCAACAGAGATCTGAATACAGATATTATTGTATGATTCAGATACAGATAGTAGTTTTTAGTAGTATTTGCAATGCCCATCCAGATTATTCATGACTACATGATTGTTCACTAAAACTGTTTTAACTTTAGTTAATGATCCCAGTCGGAAAATATCAGCAATAAAGATGAACCTTAAAAAAAAAAAATCCATCAAAATTTGAATTGAATATACCCTGACAGATGTTCAGTTTCACTGAATCAGGCTCTACAGCTGATCCTCTATCATAGGTTTCATGTCATGTTTCATGATCTTCCTTTTCTCTGTAGACCTGTGGGAGGAGAATTTCATTGATTGCAGGATAGAGAACACCACCTTTGAGCACAATAAACATGGCTGCCATCTGGACACTGTTGAGGAGAATGATGTCCTCATTTACCTGGTCAGCTTCCTTGGCAGTCTGGCTGTGTTGCCAGGCAACATCATCTCTGCTCTCTTCATGGAGAAGATTGGCAGGGTCAAGATTATAGGTGAGTTCAAGAAATTTGTTACCCTTTACTGATGATGTTTTGAATTTTACATATGATCCACACATGGTATTACATTTGTGTGTATCTGTGTGTAGAAACATTTTTTATTTATTTATTTTTTGTTATTATTATAATTAATCATTATGGTGATCTTTTAAGTGTGACCTGGCTAAGACAGCAGTGTAAGAAAAAAATAGCCAGTAACAACACAATAAAAAAAAAAAAAAAGATTTCCAGTAACATGTAGAAATACTCGAACACCTACACACAATAACAAGAACCAGCCAATTCATTCATTCTTGTACTTATGAGAGCTTTAAAATCAGACAGAGAGACCAAATCATTTAGGAGCAGAGCACATGAAAGCTTTCTTTCCCTGCTTAGGCCAGGCACTAGGAACAGACAGTAAAAATAAATCTTGAGCTCTCAAACTATAGTTACAGTCAGATTTTTAGCCCCATAGGTTGCTGTTGGGTTGAAAACAGTCAAGTTGCAAATGAAGCACTTCCCACAGGCTGCAACAAACTTTTTCATATTAGAGGTGTCTCTCTTTGTCTGTTCAGTCATGGCTGCTTAAAGGAGCTCGATTTGATATTCACAGCATTAATATAGCAACAAACCATTATTTGCTCTGTAAAGATATCGTGGAGTTATACACCTGCTTACACCTTGTATTAACATGCGTCCTGGGTGATTGGAACACAAGTGGACAGCCCTAAGTATAGGTGTGAATGCACCAAATGCATCCTCAATGCATGCACCACATTCATAGGAGGTCTGAGCTGCATATGGCCACATTCTTACAGCGCTGTGTAAACTCATATGTCCTGGGCCACATAGAAGGACTGCCGACTCAGCTGATGTCCTTGCTTATCCTCGTCTGTTACTGCTGCCCTAAAGCCGCTGACTACTGGTCAGTTAAACGTCTGCCCAGTTAGCACAGGCTAACACCGACACTGAAATGGCTCGATTCTGTCATTAAACCGTTATTTTTTCCCAGTTCCCCGCAGGGATTTCTGAATAACTCTTAGCCATGTGATGCTGACCTTTTGCCTTGTCACTGTCTGTGTGCCGATGGACTCTCTCCAGCTGTCCCAGGCATGGAGCTCACACTCCTGCAGCAGTTGTTCTCTCTACGAGGCAGCAGGACCACCAGGTGCACTTGTCTCATGATAAACAGAAAAAGAGAGAGAGCTCTACAATGATGGTGCCCTGTGGCGTCAGGGGGAAATGCGGGACAACAACATAGGTTAAGGGCGTGAAAGTCCAAGCAGGGAAGGTGGGAGTGGTGGATGGGTCCAACAACCACCAGCTTTCACCCAGGAGGACAGGATTTGCTTCCTGTGTGATTTTAAAGCCAGAGCTCCTTTAAATTCTTGCTAGCCAGCTTTTTTCAGTTTTTTTTGCATCAGTCCAGAAAACAGGAACAGAAAAGATGTATTCTGTTGAGAAAACATATAATTGACCTGTATATGATTCAATTTCGAGCCTCTACATTATTCAATATAGTGATTCTGTGATCTCCTCAGGTGGCTCCATGCTCATCTCAGCGGGCTGTACCTTCTTCCTGTTTCTGAGCTTCAGCCAGGCAGCGATCATTGCCTTGCAGTGTCTGTTCTGTGGCGTCAGTGTAGCTGCATGGAACGGCATCGAGGTGGTGACTGTAGAGCTGTACCCTACTTCTAAAAGGTACCACACCTTTATTGTTACGGCTCTGTTGATATTCTTTATTTTTATAATGTATGTGTCAGATGAAGATGAACAATTCTGATTTAGTGCACAAATGTATCATGAAAACTTGTCAATGTGACAAAAATGTCAAGTTTACAGATCTTTAAAATCAAAATACTGGTGATTCAGGTTCAATACAGTGGTCATGTCATGTGTCTGTCTCTCAGGGCCACAGCATTTGGCGTGCTGAACGCTCTGTGTAAGCTGGCAGCGGTGCTTGGCAGCTCCATCTTCGCCAGCTTCGTGGGTATCACCAAAGCCATCCCTATCCTGCTGTCCTTTGCTGCATTAGTGTGTGGTGGCCTGGTGGCCCTTAAACTGCCTGACACACGAGAGAAAATCCTCCAGTGAGGTGATGTGAGATCTGGAGGTGGGAGCCATAAGGGGAGGGAGAGGCCAAAACATACAGTATGTGCTTAATGTTGGAAGCTTTCTGAATTGATTTTGACTTCACTCTGCATTTTAAAGAAAGCAAGAATGGAAACAGCTTAAATGTAAAATGCCAAGCTCTAATTTTTTAAGCAAAGTCTTTTCATTTTGTACAGGTTTGTGGCAGGTATACACAACTGTCAGTGTTCAACTGGAAACTGAGAATTTGTTTTCTGTTAAAGAAAGTGTTGTTCTTTAATGATGAATGACTTTACTAAGGTACACTGGATTTACTAACCTCATGTTTATGATGTGAGTGAAGAATATTATTTTTGTGTCTAACTTAAGGCGTAAATCAGATGATCTAACTGGCTGTCACATCCTGTGCTTCTTGTTTTGTTGGGGTTTTTTTTTGGCCAGTGGTTCCATGCATGATAGGGACTGATTCAGATCCTGGCCAAATGTTCTCTGTGACACTTTTTAGGCTTGATGTAGCAAAGGAAGACAAAACAGGACAAAAAAGATTCATACTGATATCTGGATTTCAGAAATCTCTATTTTGCATATTTCAGGGCTGTACACAGTTAAAAATGTGCGGATATCAATAGAGCGCAAAAAATGCAAACACTGTGTTGGACTCCTCAGTGCAGAATGAGGTGTGCATACTGGCTCATCATATATGTAGGTCACTCTTACAGGTGCACCTGGTCAGGAAAGGACAAGAATTTCCAGATAGAAGCTCACACACACTTTTCAATCAATTCCTTAATAGGGGATATCCAAACGAAGTCTTGGATCAGGCATTTGTTAAGGCCTATGTTAGAAACAGAAATTAATTACTGACCAAAAGTAAATCTCAAAAGTCCAAAACCTTCTCTTGTGTATTCAACACTACCTGTTCACCACTTGGGCATGACATATGCAGTGTTATGAGAAAACAGTGGAATATTCTATCTAGGGTAGTCCATCAACATGGTTAAGGAAATCTGCACTTAATTGAAATTGTTTGAGATGATTTGAGCTTTGTGACAATGCGAGTTATCCTGGTGGAGGTAGCCTTTAAAAGATGGGCACACTGTGGTCATAAAGGGATGGACACAGTCAGCAGCAATACTCAGGTAGGCTGTGGCGTTTAAATAATGCTCAGTTGGTACTAAGAGGCCCAAAGTGTGCCAAGAAAATATCCCCCACACCATTACACCACCAGCACCTGCCTGAACCGTTGATACAAAGCAGGATGGATCCATGCTTTCATGTTGTTTACGCCAAATTCTGACCCTACCATCTGAATGTCGCAGCAGAAATTGAGACTCATCTGCACCTTTGAGATGGTTGTGCATGAAAATCCCAGTACATCAACAGTTTCCAAAATACTCAGACCAGTTCATATGGCACCAACAACCATGCCACGCTCAAAGTCACTTAAATCACCTTTCTTTTGAACTTCAGCAGTTTGTCTTGACCATGTCTCCATGCCTAAATGCTTTGAGTTGCTGCCACATGATTGGCTGATTAGCTATTTGCGTTGACAAGCAGCTGAACAGATGTACCTAATAGAGTGGCTGATGAGTGTATGCATGTATGTACCAGCATTTGTTTGAGACTACGCTTTGTAGTGCTTGCTATTGGACTTGTAATTATGTAGCCTGTTGGTAATTGTCTTAATTAGTGCTTAATGAATCTGCCGATGACTGAGCAGGTGCATCTGTACGAGTGACCTACATATATGATAAACCAGTATTCTGCACTGAGGAAAGTCCAACATGGACTGAAACGTTTGCACTTTTTGTACTTTATGCACATTTTTAACTGTCAGTACAGCCCCTCAAAATGCAACATAGAGATTTTTGAAATCCAGGCTTCAGTCTGAATCTTTCTTTGTTTTGTGTGCAAGTCTTCATTTGCTACATTGTGACATTTCTCTGACATCCACTCCAGAAAAGAAGTCTAACATAGGACAGTTTATTAGGGCGCAACTCAACTCATGCCTACCACCATTTTAAGCTCGACGGCAATTAAAGCAAATAACCCTAAATCTTGTGTGCTGAAATTGTGAAAGAAGCTTGTTGCAGTTTGGAGTCCACAGAGGTTAAAGTTCCCCTCTACTTTGTATATCAGCTATACTTGAAAACATTGTTCCTGCAGTGTCATTAACAGACGTGGTGAACTAATAACTCCATTCAGCTCGCCCAACTGTCATTTGTCAACAATTGACTGTTATCGATGTCTTCTAGTTCTGGCTTGATCTCAGTCAGATATAATGATACTGTACCAATCTGTATCTGTGATCAGTTGTACAAAATCCACTTAAAATTATCAAGTTTAATTTTAACGACTGATATATTTTGAGAATTATTTGGTCGATTTGGAATTTCAAATTTCAAGTCAAACTGAAACTTGAATCCTCATTTTATTGGGTGATATAAACTAATCATACTGCAGATATTGTGAACACTTTTCCATTTTTCAAAGGAGGATAAAACCTTTTTTGTACATGTTTGCAGCAACAGTATAAGCTTCAAGCCTCTGGGTAGCTATAAATTATTTTTCTCTCTTTTTCAAGTTCATATGACGATGTACCATTAGCAATTTAAGGCATTCAACATTTGGGAGCATCCATTGTGTTATTCAGTTTACTGTTTATTCGTCTCAGAAAGTAGAAGTTGGAGCAAGTGCTCCTGTAACAGCCTCATCATTACAAGACCCATGATTCAGATCATGTCACAGAGTAATGTAAGGAGTGCTAACAACATCTGCCCCTGAGCTAGCTGACCATTGGATCTGAAGTGACATTACAAACTACTTTTAGTGTCCAATATTGCACCAATCAAATTACAGTGCAGACACTGTTGGAATGCAGATGGGTGGAAAATACATATCATGATATATGTACAAATTTCTTAGTGAACACGATTGAGATTGTAAATGAATTTTGTGAAACTGAAGATGTTTTTCTGCAACTGCCAACCTCAGTGTGAACTGAAGTTCAGTTAATTGGTTGATAGCTTTTGCCGTACCATTTAGCTCGCAGTTTTTAACATCCTATAGCATCAAACTAATAGAGGGACATAATAGCAATGAATACTGCAGTGGTGTTACTTGAAGTGAAACTATTTATTTGTGTATTGAAGTCCAACAGTTCCTCTGTGTGCTGTTTTCTGCATGTGTCCGATCACCTCCCCTCTGGTCTTCAGTCTGCTATCAGTACAGAGTCAGTTGGCTTTACTTACACAGACAACATATTTCTGTTAACAAGAGTTTACATTTACTTTTCTGTGTCTGACCTGGAGTTTTGGATGTACGTATTTTCTAGAACCAATGACAGCAATGTAAACGAGCCCCTGTCGTATTTCTTTTTCCTTCTTAAATTAACTTATTTTCACCTTCAGTCTCAGTTTCCTCTCATGCTTGTTGGGCCTACACTTTTATTGGCACTATTGCACCATCTTGTGGAAGAATTGAAAATCACAGTTTATTTGAGCTTCATTTTTGCACAAACAGTGGCCGAGATCCTGCTGTGGAACCACACACTTCCCTATGTAAAATAAATAAAATGATGAAAATGCTTGGGAATTGAAAATGAGGGTAACTGCCATTTATCATGCAGGGGGAGGACACAAAATTACCTGATGGAAGAAAAATAAAGGCGATTTGAAACCAAGTGCTAGATGATAAGGTCAAAAGAGACGAATCAGGTGAAACATATTTGTCTTTCACCTGATGCATTACAAAGAAAGATAAAAGGTACTTTTTTTCCCAGTACTGCAACCTCTTTTAGCGATAACATGAAATCTGTATCAAGTGTAGACAAACACTGGGGAAAATACTAATCTAGCTCAGTCCAAATGCAAATGGTTTAGATTGCCACCTCAGAACGGCACCTGTTTTTGAAGGAGAACTCACATCAAACTAAAAATGATAGCATTTACTATATGCCCTCAAAAATGCAAACCCAGCCATGAATTTCTGTATTTCTTCTCTTCTCTTCTCTTCTCTTCTCTTCTTTTCTTTAGGGATAAAAGAGTCAGTAGTCTATAACAAAATTAAATGCTTATTCTGCATTAACTATTAAATCTTGGAATAAACCATAGTCTATATATTTAAAAAAAAAAAAATCACACACAAATAATTTCTTATTTTCTTTGACATTTTTGTCATATGTAGGTATGCAAAAATTATTTTTGGTTGATGTTTATGTTGTCTTATGTCAAGTCTCTATTTGATCATGTGATGAGATGACACAATCTGATAGCTAGGTAAGGCCCAAAATCCGTCAAGCCTGACAAGCTGAGCACATCTGCAAGCCCAGCAAGCAGTCATGCCTTTTAAACACTGATGCAGCGGTAAGACAGGACAAAGAAGAAAAGCACAGGAAGAAAAAGTGGCAAAGCTCCCTCAATTAAATTCCTTTGGTTTATTATAGACAGTTGCCAGTGGTGTGTGTGTGTGCACCGTATAACTAGTGACTAGTGTGTATTAGGGACCATCACAATAGCATGCATTGGGGCCCGTTGTAACCAGCTTACGCCACTGGCCAGAGTGTTTGTTCCTCCTTAGCAGAAAGATAATGTGTGCTTCCAGACCTTCCTCTAGCACTGACTCACCGTAGAGAAACGTCTGGCTGTGCAAGACTAGAGAAGATATAATTGAGACTGCTTTGGACTTGTTTAAATAGATTTTGGTTTTTCTTTTAGATTTTTTTTTTTATTTTACTTCTATAAGAAGTAGGCAGTTTCTAAACACATGCTGATCTACAAAATGATCTAAAAATATACAAAAAAGTGTTATACCTTACATAATAAATGGCAGTTTCAGTGCAACTGATGATTGACAGACAGTTCCATTCACAGTCATTTCCATCACTTGAGCTTTAATCAGTTGCGACATATAGTTTCAACATTCATGGCTCTGCTTTTCTTTTTTTCTTTTTTTTGTTACTTCCACTTCTTAGGCTTTGCCCTCTCTCTCTCTATCATCACTCTCTAAAGCAACTCTACAGAAACCAGCGTGGCTACAGTACCAGTGTGTGGAGGATGGATGTGTTATTCTACCTTTCCTGTACAGTTTCATGTTGACTATGTATTTATTACAGAAGGTTTTGTGCTGCAGTTGTGTAAATGATTGCATGTTTGTCTAATGTTTATTCTTTGCTCTGTTTCAATGTGTCTTCAAGTTTGAAATGGTCTGGCTCTGGATTGTGTTATCACAAAAATAAAGAAACAGCTGCAGCACTTTGACACAGATAGAAATGATCACTGGCTGGATTTGCGCTCTGGGCTCGTAACACAGATATATATTGTGTCAACGGTAAGAAGCAACTGCTTGTCTGTTTGTAATGTCTTCCAAAGAGACTCTTTTTGTTTTGGACTGGGGATAGTCTGTTACTGACTAGATGTGGATCTGAGACGGATCCTACCATCCACCTTCCTCTGCTGTTCTTTGCTTCGCTGTGGCGTGATCTTGAGGCTGAAATGTTTACTGTGTCTCCATGTAGGATGAGAAACCACTTTGATGGACTGTTGCTTTGTCTGGCACTATCACTTTATTTTTACGAGATACACACTTACTAGCTGTTTCAGTGACATTTCCTTCATCAGTGAAGAAAAAAAATATTTTGGTTCAGTGTGTGCAGCACATTCTTATTCCCAGAACATCAAATACCAGCATTCTGTCATGCCCCTTGGTGTGTGATATCAACGCCAAAGGCATGCTTTAGCATCTCAATAAGACTAATCCCGACTAAGCCATCTGCAACAGTGGGAGACGCTGAGAGCAACTGATGCAATGTCAATGTTGTTTTGCCTATTGACGTCTTGTTACGTATAAAAAACACACGTAGGGGAGACTGGGGACGGTTGCAACAGTTACTCAGTTACACTTAGACTATGTGGACTACACCAACCAAATTTTTATATATAAACTTACATCTCTCTGCTAATTACCCATACCATTTAAAATGAATACATATGACATATTGTTCACAATATTTATTTGAATGGAAGAAGTCAGATGTTGCAACTGACCTCACCCGATCAGCTGTGACAGAACATCATGTGCTGGCTAGACACATTAACCTTGATGCATGTTAACCATGTCACATAGAAGCCAACTAAACAATGATTCAAACACATTAAGTTT